TTTACAAGGGTGACTGAGTCGCGATTTCACCCTTGTAAAGTGTTGGTCGGGATGGCTAGTGCGGATATTCTCAATCAGCATTGAGCGACGTATTTTATCTAAGAAATGTAAATGCATTTGAAAAGGACCTAATACAAGGTCGAAAGCGTTTATGCTATTTAATTGTTAATAAACGGATTTAAATATATACACTCCAACAACAGTGTTATTGATTCAATAGCCAAAATTCATTTGTTCTTTGATCATCAAAAAATATTTCAAAAATATCATAAAAATATCACGGGAGTGTAATACACTGCATTCAAATTTCCTATACATTAAGCGATGTCTTTGAGATATACTTGAAAGAAAACAGTACTAATATTTTTAGAAGAATATCTGTGTGATATTTCAGGGATGTAATATCTCATGATATCACGAAAATAACGTAAAAACGATATCATTCTATAATCAAATGATATCATGTGCCGTCTGGGTAATCTGTTATTTCAACTAGTATCGACAGAAAAAAAGAAAATATTAATGTGTCCGCGATGCAAATATTATTGTATCAATCAAGTAGAACTTGAAATAAATGTAACAGATTTGATACATAACGTGCCTTCATTTATTTCTATGTTTTCACTGTGTTACTTTCTTTGTATATTGTGTCTACACAATTCACTTACCCACCCAGATAGCACAGGATGTTCTATGGATGTTCGTTTTATGTCCATTTTATGGTCGCACGTCCGCGAACATGAAGGAGACGTTCATGGTATGTCCGATTTCGGACGTTCATTAATGACTAATATTTGGACGTCCATAGGATATTCGATCTTCAGCTCATTTGCAGTTAATCTTATTTTCATATTTTTACAAATTTATACAAAGTATTAAGTGACTCTTACACATTTTTGAAAAGTGTTATATATTTGATGCTTTCGCGGTGTGTAGTAATAACATACAAAGATGTTTTTTCGGGTTTGAACCGCGTTAGTGTCATTTTTATACCGACGTTTCGTGAACATTACAGCTCACTTCATCAGGGTTTGAGCAGTATCAGGCTGCTCTTCAAACTCTGATGAAGTGAGCTGTAATGTTTACGAAACGTCGGTATAAAAATGACACTAACGCGGTTCAAACCCGAAAAAACATCTTTGTATGTTAAGTGTTATATATTTAAAAAAAAAATTGTATATACATGTTAACTAATTATGACTGACAGATATATTGTAACAAAAAAAATTATTTATTTACTTATCACGTGTACAATCTTAAAATAATGAGCGCATTCGGGAAGCGTGCTACCAGCGCTATCGCATCATTCTATCTTTGTTTTTGTCAAATGAACGATAAAAATAGAATGATGCGATAGCGCTGATAGCGTAGCTGCGTTCCGTTTCACGCAATGCGCGCATTTATCTATATTATACGTTACGTGTACTATAGATAAATGCGCGCATATGCGTGAAACGGAACACAGCTGGAGTACGTTATTATCGCGCTTTAATGTTTCGTACGTCTTTTGTCTCGGTTTCTTGTCGTCTCGTCTCATCGAGAAACCGGCAACTGGCAAAAGTTGTCTTGCTTTTCTTGTCATGGCAACCGTAACGGTCGTTATCACATACAAGATATTTTTTTATACGTGTGTTATTAAACATCATTTATCTCGCATTTGCTCCTCTTGTGAAGAAGCAACGCTATTTAAGCAAAGAAGAAGAAGAACGACAACCGGCAATCATTTTATGATCTCGTCTACTTTTTACTTCCAAAGAATGTTTTTTGTGCGCATTTGTTGCAGTAGAATACGTGATAAGTAGACTTATAAAATTGTACATATATATATTGTAGATGACGTAGCTTTGATAGATTGTGATGAGAAAAGGAGGTTGATATAAATAAAAGATAGAAATCATTATTTTATAACATAGTTGTACAATCTAATCTACTGCCGCAGCTGTCTCTACCATTGTCTCTACAACGTTTTCAACGAACATTTTTCAGCATTTCGACAATGAAACAGATGAATTTTGGATCTCTTCAAATAACAACAGCTTCTCGAAGATTCGAGAGAATTATGAGATTTACTGTAAATAAACTTATAACCTGGAGTATCAATTTACCGCAGTTAAGTAAGTACCAGTAGTGATTAATATATTTCTTAAAAATGTCTAAAGTAAATAGGAAAAATAATAAACATGCAAAAACGATAGTTGATGTATGTTTTAATATATCGAATCTACTAGTGATTTCTCTTTATTAACTACTCTTGTACAATTCAATTGACTACCTCACAATCAGTTGTTTTCAGCATTCATTGTCTCTACATTTTTTGCTTATTTTCCACAAACTTTCTTCAGTATTTCAACGATAAAATAAATTAATTTCAGATATCTACAAATAACAACAGCTTCTCGAATACACGGATTCAAGAGAATTACTATACTGGAAATAAACTTTGTATATATAGAACATCAACTCGCCGCAGTTAAGTAAGTACCAGTGATAATATATTTCTTCAACATGCCTAAAGTGAATAAAAAATATTATATACGTGCAAAAAAGATAACTGATGCATGTAATAATATCGCGGAATCTATTAGTGATTTTTCTTTAACTATTAACACATCTTCAGTTGCAAATAATACTATTGTATCATATGTCATTTATAATAATAAATTACGTAATACTGATAAAAACATTTTTAATGAAGATAATAATGATGCAGATGATATTGATAGTTACACTAATGATGATGGTGCAGACATTAGTAATAGTTACATTAATGATAACAGTACAGTGAATTACAATTTTTTAAATAATATTGAACGTTGTGAGAATGATAATGTAAGTATTACATTCCAATTGCAAGGATGGGCTATTAGAAATCGGATACCTTATGTTGCATTAAATGAATTGATGCTATATATAAAACCTAGATATCCAGAACTTTCTCGAGATGCTCGTACTTTATTAGGCACTTTGAGAAAAATACATACAGATATTGTTAAACCAGGACACTATTATCATTTTGGGATAAATCATTGCGTAGATAAATTTATAGAAGCCTCGCAATATTTCTTTCAAAATTCACAGATAATTGAAATTATTATAAATATTGATGGCTTGCCTTTATCTAAAAGTTCAGGGAGTCAAGTCTACCCTATTTTATGCAGTTTGGTTAACAATTACAACAATGTTGGCATTATTGGGATTTATCATGGATATAAAAAACCTGCAAACGCTAATATATTTTTGCAATTTTTCGTAAAAGAAGCTCAAAATTTGGTTACCCATGGTATAACAGTTAATGGAATAATATATCCATTTAAAATTAAAGCTTTCATTTGTGATGTACCAGCTCTGTCTTTTATAAAATATACAAAGGGTCATTCAGGTTATTATTCGTGTAAAATGTGAAGTTAAAGGCGAATATCATCTTAATAGAGTATGCTTTCCGTATGTAGAGATTTTCAATGTAAGAACAAACAAAAACTTCAGATTAAAATCACAGCCAGATCATCATACAGGTACATCAGTATTAGAATTGATTCCAAATTTAGATATGGTGTATGATTTCCCATCAGATTCAATGCATTTACTTTTCTTAAGAGAAGTTAAAAAAATAGTTGTCTCTTTATGGTGTCATGAAAAACCTCGTGCTAAATTGTCATCGCATCAACAATCAATAATCAAGATTATTAGAAGAACAAAAATGTTATATACCATGTGATTTTAATAGAAAATCAAGATCGTTATTAGAAAGTAAGAAGTGGAAAGCCACTGAATATAAGACATTTTTATTATATACAGGACCGGTTGTATTAAAATCTGTATTATAAGGTATGATACATATTTAAATTTTATGACTCTGCACGTACCTGCCACCATCTTATCTAGTTCAAAACATATTGAATTGTATTTAGATTATTCAAACTTATTATTACGATATTATGTTGAAACATTTATTAGTCTGTACGGTAAATAAACGCATCTCATAATACACATAATTTGTTACATCTTTGTGATGATGTGAAAAATTTCGGATCACTGCAAACTTTCAGCGCTTTCCCGTTTGAGAACTATATGCAATCAATATTAAAAATGATTCGCAAAAATGATAAACCATTGCAGCAAATTATTCGCCGGATAAGTGAAATAATTATATACCTAATCCTAATCAAAACATAAGACAATTAAATGAACCTCAACTTTTAAATATGCATTTCAATGGTCCGCTTATGAATTGTCACAGCTATAATCACTTTAATAAAGTTGTGTTTAAAAAATTTTTATTAACAACTACAGAACCTGACAATTGTTGTTGTTTGTTGGATAGAAGTATTGTAGTTATCCGAAATTTTGCTTCTAATAATGAGAATACTATTATAATTGGAAGTAAGTATAAAACACTTAAAGATTTTTATATCAAATCCTGCAAATCTTCAAAACTTGATATTTATGAAGTCTGCTATCTCAGCAATTTACAGATTTGGAATTTGGATCAAATAGCAAACAAATGTGTTAGATTAAAATACAAAAAAAGATACGTTACATTTCTTTTATTACATGCACAATCCTAAATAACAAAACAAATTTCTTATTTATTTTTTTGAAATTCAGAATACTAAAGTTAGTCAAATTTATCATATAAGTTTCATAAAATTATTCTAAAAATAACGTAAACAAAAAAAGAAAATATTTTTATTTCATTATTATCAGTAACATTTATTAATTTTTAATTTGATAAATAAAATATTATTCTAATACATAGTTATATAATATTATATTGCTACAAAATTATATTAGATTAGAATTGTTTCAATATGTTATATCTATACATATATATGTATAACAATTATATTAACTATTATATTCATGTTTCCTCAGGTTTAAAATTATTATTATTGTAACCTTTGTTTATTCTCATTTAATGTATATTTTTATTACTTTAATAGAAATTGTTTGATTATTTATTGAAATCTTCTTTCATTATCTACATTACAAGAAAAATACAGTTTAAGTTACTAGTTTAAGTTACTTTACATAATATTAAAACAACGTCAAAGTAGTAATTAGTTTGAAGTAATTTAAGATAATAACTAAAATAAGTTTAAACTAGTAACTTAAACTGTATCTTTCTACACACACATATATATATATATATATACATGCAACATCAGCAGCCATACTTAAGATTCATTACTTTTTTTGTTACTGTAAATATCAGAAAATTATTCTCTTGCTTTTACGTTTCATCAGAAATGGAAAAACCGACATGGACAGTAGTTCAGTTTTCGGCAGATAACACTGTTGAAGCAGTACCATCTGGCTGGAAAAAACACGATAAATGTTATTGGCCTCCATTTAAGTATGAACAAGTTATCGCTGCAATTCGGAAAAATGTGGAACGAAATACATATGTTGGCCATCTTATAGCATTAGTACGTTTTGGAATAGCACATATGGTTAGTTGCGTATTAAAACAAACTTTAAATTAATTTCATTTTTATATATTAGTGCTATTGTTTGCTATAATGTAAGTATTTATTTACATACTTTTAAATGACTATAATATGGCAAAACAAAAAACAAAAAAAGCTGAATGTATTTCGGATTTGAATTCAGAGATTGAAATTACAAAAAGAAAAAGGATAAAAAATCGTTTCCTTAGTGACACCGATGATAGTGATAAGGAAAATAGCGTTCCGACAAAAAGAAAACAAATGAAAGGTTTGTTTTGTAAACAGAAATCATATTCTTTAAAGTTATTTTATAAATATTAGAATATTATATAGTATAGTATTGTACCAATTATATTTTACTAAGAATATATACTTTGTATTTTAAATATATATATAATATTGAATATATAATTTGTATTTTAAATTATTTTCTCAGAGAACAAAATAGTAAAAAGAAACTAGGATAGCAGACAAACACTATTCTAGTGAAGAGTTTTCTGAAGAGTCTCTGGCAGCACACTTCCGGAATCTCCGCAAATGACAAATATGGGTATATTTAATGTATACATGGAAATTTATGTGCATGGACTTTATATTACTATATAAATATGACTACTCTTTCTTTGCTCATTTTATGTACTTATGTACTTATGTACTAATGTACACGCATATAATTTTATGTATAATTAATTTATTGTTAAAATAGTAACTTCTTTCCCTTTTCTTTCTTTTAAGTTTTGAAATGTCAAATTTATAAAGTTTGTGTTTTTTTATGTTGAAGATGTAATTATTAAAAGTATATGTATATTTTAACATCTATCATAACATATAGAAATATATATAAAAAGATTTTTATTGATTAGATGTTGCATATTAAAAATCAAAATATATTATATTTTGATTATCATGCATTCCTTGAAAAGTTAAAAAGATACTTTGCATGTTAAAAATCTTCAATTTATTTATATTTTTAAACAAAAATTTATTATTTGAAGAATACGCATTGTATTGTACATGTAATAATAATTATTTATTATTCAATATATTATTATAACATTATTTTAAATAAATAAAAAAATTATATATGGACAGGTAATCTCTTATTAATAGCTATTATGTTGTAAAAAACTTATATTATTACGTTATAAAGATCTTATTATAATAATTTATGTCATAAAGAAATCTTTATTTTTGAAACACTAATTTTTAAATGCGTGATCTTTTTGACTTCAATTCAAATAGAATATTAAAAAACTACAGCTATATGTATTCTATTCTATAAAAAACAGAATCTTTTATTATGCAAGTACTTGTTAATACTACAGTTTTGATTTTGTAGAATCTATGAATATTAAGAAAAAGTTACATGTAAATACAAATGGATCCAAAGTAATTGAAAGAACTCCAAGTACGTCAACACATAACTTGCCAAATAATAGTTATAATATATGCGATGACGCTTATATGAGTAATGCTTCTTTTTTATCTATTCAAAATGATAGTGGTATGTAGTTTTTTAAAGAATTGGAAATTATCATTATTAACAGATAGATGGAACGTAATATTTTAAAAATTAACATTTTTCTTCTCTAGATAATCCAAAGTATTTCAAAGAAATTATTCGCCAGCAAAGTTTCTTTAAAACTCAATTGTGATAGATGGCAGATGATTTGAGAGAAGTAAAAAATGTCATAATGACCAATAATCTGATACAAAATCAAGATAATCAGCAACAAAATGGAAGATCGATTTATTCTTCTTTTGAGCTACCATTGAGAACAGTGAAAGATATTGAAGAAGCTGTGGAACAGTTTTTAGAAATTGAAGATAACTTTAAATGTACGGTATAATACATATGCTCGATATGAATTTTGCAAAATATTAATAACTATTGTAAAATAATATATGAATTTTTGTTTCAGACTACAGAAACATGTACAGTAGGAGGCACTTTTCCTTACAATTTTATACAACGAAATTTGTGCCGTTTGGTTAGCAATAAACTTGCACAACATTATAACTGGATAGGTGCAAAATATAAAAGGAAATTTTGTAATCTTCGAATTGCCAACATGTTAGTAGGTAAATACATTAATTAATGATATTTTTGTAGCACAAATATATATTTAATTATATACATTTATATATATTTATATACAGGATGTCCGACAATTACTTTAGTACTCTCTCGTAGGCAGATAGAAGGAGGAGTAGAGAAGGAGAATCAAAAATTAGTGAACCACGCACCTGGTGTGCGTGAGCGCTCTGCGCGGCACACTGACATGCGTCCGGCTAAAAGTCGACGCTTGATTTATTCAATAATTACTCCTTTACTATTTGTAATAGAAAAAATTGATACAGGACTTTTTAACTCAATTTTACTCCTTCTACCTCTCCTTCTGCCTACGAGAGAGATGCTAATGTAATTGTCAGACACTCTATATACATTTAATTTATATATTTAAAATATATATTTAACATATATAACGTATACATTTAATTATATACAT